GGAGGAAGAGTGCCTGACAGAGATTTTGACAGTGCTTTCTGAAGCAGGAAATCCTTTTGCTTAATATGTTTAAATTTTCCAAACACCAAGGAAAACATGCAGATCCCCACAGGAGAACTTTTCAAGATGACAGAATAAACATCTACACAATTCAAATATTTGACTTTTATTGACATTTTAGGTGGCTTATTCAGAACGGTGATCTTAGAACAAGGAAGTTAAAGACCTTCTGAAGTCTCCTTAAATTTACATCTTCCTTTTGAGCAACCAAGACCCACCAAACATTCTCTTGGTGTTTCAAACACCAAGAGGAAGGACTGCTCTTTACTGTGCAAGATTGATTTTGGAAAAATAAAGGTGTTAGTGCACATAAAAATGCTTCTTTGAAGGTGGTTGAGGTTTGGTGTGGTTTTTTCTTTCTTCTGTAAGCAAACATTCAAAACCGAGGTAAGCGGAAGAGATAAAAGCTTTCCGGGGAAAAAAAGATGATAATATGTTTCATATAGTTTGTTTAAATTTAAAAATGAGCACCGGGGGAAATTTGGAATAAGAAGTGGAAATGTGGTGTAGTGTATCATTGGAAGTTTTTAACATTAGCTACCATGTATAAAAATTATTTTATTTTCCAACCCATACTGAGATGGTTCACAAAGCATCTGCCAGAACACAGACTACTGTTTTGAGGTGTCAGATGGTATTTATATGGATACGCATTGGTAAAAGTACGTATATGCGTGTTTAAATACGTTACAGAATTTTAGGTATATAAACACCTACGCATACAGCGTTTTCATTTTGCTCACAAATCTATGACATGCAGTTTTTAGCCAAGCACCTCGCTGCTGTCAGAGTTTTCCCAAGGCCTGGAAGGGTCTGGAAATAAGCAGCCATCTCCTCTCAGCATTTCTGTGGAGTGACAGGCAGCTTGAGTCATGCTTCACCTTAGGAAAAAAAAAAGAATGAGTAATCATTTTGTTTGAATTGCAATAAGTATGAAATATTTCTCAGGAGCCAAAAACATCTTGGAAAATCAGAAAGACATTCTTGAATAGCTGGTCATAATAAAAGCATTGTCACATTGTAGTATTTCTTTCTTAAGGGGAAGAAAGTGTTGGGATTTCAAAATGTTTCATTCATGAGTGCATGAAATGAGCACACAGGACATCACTTTAGAAGAATTTAAACTGGCAATTAAAAATTTAATAGCTGCAATTACTTGCTTTTGCTTTAATAAGTAAAATTTGTCTTTGATGGGAATATCTAGTGAAAAATCCCAACCTCTTCCCTTGGAGCCCAGCAATATATGATTATTGGAAGAGTGAAAGTATTCCCAGGTTTCCTGGGCTGCCAGCAAGGTGCCTTTCTGCAGCCAATTCGCATTTTAGTTTTTTACCATTTTGGCTGTTGAAGCCATTATGTCGGTAGATACTGACTGCGTCGTTCTTCTAGGAAGGTAAAGAGTGCTGTTGGGAAAAAGGTCCCTTTCCCTCCCTCCCTCCCTCCCTCCACCCCTTCCTAAAAATGACAGATTTTTTTTTTTTTTCCCCTAAGAAGGAGCACCCTCGTTTGAAAACTGCCATTGTCTTTGAAATTTGCTTCTTTAAAGTAGAACTGTATTTTAAGAGAAAACGTGTGTCCTGGCTATAGTTTTCTGGGTTAAATTCTTATTTTCACTTTGAAAATTTCTTTTCAGCTGGAAAAATGTTTTAAATTATAGCCATTAAAAAAAATTACTCCTAGCAAGCAAAAATACTGTGGAAAACCTGTAATTTAGACAAGTACCTACATTTTATTTGCTCTGTGCTGCTGAAATTTAGAATCTCTTCCCATTTACAGTTTACTTTTCACAGAACATTATTAACTTTTTGGCTTCATACATGATCTTCTGTCAGATGCTTTTGATTTGTAATTTAGCAAAGTATAATAAACAGTGCAAAAGTCATGAATTTTCCTCTGCATCCTGAGCTCTGTGGTAGGGAAAATGTGATAAAATGTGTACCTTAAGTCTTGTTTGATGATCTCTCAAAGCAAGTTTGCCTTCTGGAAATAATTTCTGGGGTTGAAGAGCATGGTATTAACAGATTTAATGTGGCTATTCAATGGATTGGTGGAGTACTATGTGAGGTTTAACAAAATGAGAGAGACAAATTGAACATCAACAAAACCTACATCTGTGAAGAATTATAAATTTAATTAGAAAAAAGGGCAAACTTAAAAGACCTCATTAACTAATCAGAATTTGATGTTACTGATTTAAGATTCTTAAATGGATGAATTTTAAGTAGCTTTGCTATCATTGTCCTTTTTTTCTCACCATGTACTGAATAGTACCCAATCTGCAGTCTGTATTAAGGAGAAAGATGTGAATGTTGCTGACAAAAATCAAATTATACAGAGTAATGTTTTTGAAGTCTTAAGAAGAACATGTATGCCATTTAGCCTATAAGGCATTTTTAGTTTAAGCAGAACACTGAGTATAAAGGGGGTGTGACAGCTCTTTTTTTTTTTTTTTTAATGTGACCCATTTCTGTCTGGATAAGGCCAGGCATTTTAGTTTTGCCCCCTACTTTTTATTTGATATGTGAGTTATGTTGCCAAACTGCAATTATCCAGAAACCTGTTGACAAAATGGAAATATATGAGAGAAAGGAAAAGCACACACCACCCAGAAATGTTTTTATTCTATGAATTAACTGGTCGTCATAAGTGTGGTTCCTTACTACGTTGTAATTTTGTACTGCACATAAAAAACTGAAAGCATGTGAAGTGTAGCATTTTGTAAACTGTAACTAATTTCAGTCACATCTGTGTCTAATTGTTGTCTGCATTCGCATTCTTGAGAGTAGATTTATTTTTCCTGGACCACTCTGTGGGTTCAGCTGACCAGCCTAAGTGAGGATTAGTTGTTTTAAAGTTATTTTGATTAAAGAGTCATTTTTAAATTTGGTAACGTGCAACACATGGTTTAAATAATCCTTGAGACACAAAGGAATATATCTAAAGTATGTCTAATGAAAATGAAAATTGTGGATATGAACTTTCACAAATCACAGAGTGTTGGAGGACATTTAAGGTACATATTTAATTCATTGTGAATGAGCTGGTTATTTTTTTGCCCCGGCAAAAAAAAAAAAAAAAGAAAACCTTCAAGCCAAGCAAAAAAAAGAAAAAGGAAAAAAGGCCAAAAATGTATATATTTTCAAATGTACAGAAGTTGCTATTTTTGTAAAAATTTGGTACTTAAAATAGTCAGAATGACATTTTTTTAAAATTTGAATCAAGTATGAATAATTGTGCAGTTCATGTTGGAAAATATCGGTTAGTTAAAAAATCCATTTGAAAAAGAAAGTTTTTTCTATTATAAAAGATGGGTTTTTTAAGATCCTGTGCAAGAGGGAGTGAAGATAGCTCTGTAGGCAAACTTAGTTCTCACCTATAATTTTTTCCAGGTGTTTAGAAGTAACAGCAGAAGCATATCCTAAGGCACTCTGCAGCAGTTTCTGGGGTAAAGAACTAAGGGGGAAAAAAATTCTTAAACCAAAATGCACAGTTTTGACTCTATCTGCTAGTCTAGTTTGATTTGGCATGCAACGATGTATTGAAAAGCGTGTTATGCAGTACTTTAAGTACCCAGTTATAAAAAGATTGATGTTCTTCAGCATGCATTATTGCATGCTTCTTGACATCATTTGTAATGTTCTTCCTTGCCTGACTGCCCCTAGCAGTTGTTTACTCTTGCTAGTAGTAATTCTGTCTGTGATTAAAAATAACAAAAAAACCACCCTACAGACACATAAGTAGGATTTGCTCGGATGATTTTTATGGCACTTAAAATGCCTCATGTCCTATGTCTTAGCTCTGTGATCATTTAAGAGATGTCAGTTCAGGTTGAATGGAAACGCACAAGAAAGATCCTCACTGCAGACATTAAGAGGATATATACCTTGCCCAGAGAAGCTTTTAAGCTAACAGTGTCTAGGAGTGTATTTCCACCTGAATTTTATCACCTGAGAATTGTTACTGCCTAGAGTTTGTTAGTAAAGCACCAGCGTTTTTCTGGTGGAATATGAAAACTATTACTCACCTGAGTTATAAAAGGAACCACTTGAATGAACTAAAAAATTATTGGTGGCCTTTCCAGTGGAAAAAGATTCCTTTTCTTCATGAGCAACCTCAGAGGTAAATTCTACAGCTTCCTCCCATTTATTTTATCAGAAATCTCATTAGCACCTGTAATTTTTAGAAGTAAGACTACGCAATAACTTGTGGAGCTTTTATTTTAATTTGACCTGGCTGGAGATGGGCTTCTTTTAGAGGTGGTTCTGTAAGGCTGTGTGCTATATAGTGAAGGTCTTTACCATAGGTAGAATTGTTCCTTGTTATTCTCTACCTCTCCTCCCCGAAGAATACCATCAGCATCTCCAGCTTGCCTTTGGGGTGAGCTTGGCTTTTGGGTTCCCTGTGGGCCAGGCACGGAGGAAGGATGGCGAAGAGCAAAGGGAGAAGAAAACCAGTATGATGAGGGCAAGAATGTGCCAGGACCGAAGGAGAAGGGAGGGATGAGAGGAGGCGAGGATGCTGAGGGGCTCGGGCAGAGCAGCTGGCGCTGCCCTCGGCGGGCGGCGCGCCGGGGTTACCTTTGCGGGCAGGGCAGAGCCGGGCAGAGCCGAGCAGAGCCGAGCAGAGCCGAGCCGGGCCGGGCCGAGCCGGGCCGGGGGAGGAGTGAGCCCTCCGCAGCTGTCACGGGCCCCTGATGAATCACTATCCCGTCACTTGGCTGCCGGCCCCTGGCGCGGGAGGAGGGAGAGAGACCTGCCGGGGAAACAACAGTTGAGCCTTCAATTTAAAGACAATATGCCTTTCAGGGCCACCGCACCCTCCTCCTCTCCCTTTGGATTTAAAGGACAGAATTGTCATCCATAGTGATATCCTTTCTTTAAGTTAAGGCCTCATAGTAAACTGGAGTAATAGAAGCTTCTGTTTGTTTCCCTGGTTTACAGGTGCAGAAGTCCCAAACCAGTTCAGATGTTGCTGTTTCCTCAAGCTGCAGGTAAGAATTTGACCAAAAATTGTTAATTTTTTGCAAGCCTTCTATTGTTGGGGAATTTTTTAAACTTCAAGAGATAAGTAAAATATTTATTCTTGTTTCTCACATTAAGCAGACGAGTAAGTGCTGGAGCCTAGCCTTTACGTGTGTGCAACCGAGTCTGTAAACCGTGAGCACATAACTTTTCCACTGAATTGTTAGAGTTTGTATTTCATGTAGGCGTTTTGAACTCATTGCAGTATCATCCTCTTTTTGTGTAGAAGGTTTCAGGTAAAGAAATATTAAATGAAGAATCTATATTTAGAATCTGTGGTAAAATTTCAGTTAACATACAAAAGCTTCATACCTGAAATGACGCTCAGAATATTTATACCATTACTGCGGGAGTAATTTTATATATAATTTTAATAGTCTTTAAAAAAACCTAAGCATTTCTTTTAAACTGAAAAATTACTAGTTCAAATGCCTTGGAGGCACAGTAACCTATGAAGTTTCTATTAGGAGCAATTACTTAGAAATGAGTACATCAAATAACACTATCAAAAGTTTTAGGTATAAAGGAACAGAAGGATAGTGAACTTCAGTCATAAGCCCTAACACCAGCTAAGGGATATGTCATAGTGATGATGACTATTGGTCTGTTATTATAGGGCTATTGAAAGCACAAATCTTAAATATTCAGCTGCTTTTGTGCCGCTTATAGGTTTAATTTTTGCTTTAGATGGGAATTGCTGTTTTCTCCTTTTGACTAAGCGACAGCTGCTGAGGTACAGCCGAGTGCTAAGGCACACTAACGCCTCTATGGACTTGCTGTATGTCGGTCAGATCCCTTTCCAATTGGGCACGCTTTATGTAATCCACAAAGCAAACAAGTGAGCAGACATAATAATGTTTTAATGCTGCATTTGTTTCAAAGGAAACAGAGGAACAATTAAGTAGTTTGCCAGAGTAAACACATACATCAGGAATATCTCATTCCCTGTCAGTAGATGATAGCTTTCCACAATTGCTTCAAGTGTTTTATTTGTTTTGGAGGCCCATTATATTGCCACTGAGTGGTAAATCTTGAAGAAGCAGAGTGTTAATTTGTTTTAAGCGAATATATGTCTTCATATGTTGGTGGTTCCATCTTTGTACATATTTTAAAAATATGAGATTACATCAATTTTGAAAGCGCCGTGCTTGGATCTAAGTTTTATTTAGTTACAAGCTGCGAAAATAATTCCGGTAGCTGGCCACTCATGTGTGGGGCTACAACATGAGTTAAGCACGGGAAAAGATCAAGTAGGGAAAAGTAGTTAATTTTTTACTAAGTGTTTCTGGGATGTTGATAAATAGCAGGCTGCATCTCATAAAGGCAGTTTCTCTGTAATTCATGTTGACTTATGTCACTAAAACAAGTTGCATCTTGTTTTCAGGTCTATGGAAATGCAGGATCTAGCCAGCCCACACAGACGACTAAGTGGTAGTAGTGAATCCCCCAGTGGTCCAAAACTTGATAACTCACATATAAATAATAATTCCATGACACCCAATGGCACAGAAGGTGAGCCAGACTTTTTTTTCCCATTTTTTTTAAATTTCTTTTTTCTCCTTTTTTGCTTTGGTGTTCTTACATAATGTATTACTGTTTTAGGTGTTCTGTGTTTATTCATATGGTATATAAAGGCAATGCTCAATGTTTATCAGTAGTTACTATTATCAAGTTTCAGCAATAGTTTTCATGACAGGTTTTTGTTTCTTTCATGGAGTTAGAATGGACTAAGCAGGTAGTATGAGCAGAGCTTAAATTAAAAAAAAAAAACAAGTCCAGAAACGGAAAAGGAAGTTTAATGATGAGAGAAAAGTAGTTGTTTACAATTGCCATAGTACAAAATGTAATTTTTCAGTCTTTTTTTACTATTTTGGTATTTCTTTATGTTCTCACTTTTTTTGTAACCTCCTAAGGCTTTGAGAATTTTGTCAAATAGGCTAATAAAACTAAGTGTTGAAAGTTCCTCAGGCTAGCTTGCTGCTCGGATGGAGTGGCCAAAATTCAAACAGGTGTAGTAATTCAATGGAGTAAACTGATACCTATTTCTCAAGAAGCAGTCAGGCAGTTGATAAGTTATGTTTGTTCTCAGTAGAATACTAACAACAGAACAACCTAACAGCTTTGCCAGTAATATAATACATCTATAATACATATAATAATACATATAATGAAATACAGAAGGGTTTGTGCAACAAGCAGCAAAAAATGCTCTTTCCTGTAGCATTTCTGTGTCAATAGTGGGAAAGATCATACATGATATTTAACTGGCTGTGTGAACAGAGACTTAATACATTACTAGAAAAGACAGTCATGGAGATTCAGTATTCAGGTCTTCAGTATAAATGCATAGGTAAACTGCTACAACTGTTGTAGCAAAGATATGCCTTTTTTTCCTAAGGACTGGGTTGTAGTAATGCTGTCAAACTCTTCAGGATTATGGACATGGATCACATTTTTTCAGGAAAGGCACATGTCAGTCAAACAGATGTTGCCCCCCCCTCAATTCCCCAAATATTTTTGTTATTCATTGTAATTGGAGTCCTTGGTAGTGGGGACAGTTTATAGGTTATCAGATTAACAGGGACTTGTGCCAGGCTTGTGTGTAATTTACTTTTTGCTATTGCTGTAAAAGTATTGCTTCAATCAAATATTAAGTACTTTGGAAAAAAAAAAAAAACAAAAAAACCAAAAAACTTTTTAAAGGATAAATAAAGTATTTACTGTGCTCATGGAGTTTAAGCATGAAAATATTTTCTGTCCGTAAATGAATCTTCTTCCTTTAAAATAGACAAGTATGTTATTCTATTTTTATATCATATTAACAAGTATATACCACTTTTGATACAGAATAAAATTGCCCTTTCAAATTAAAATTCCTCTAGCTCACAGAAGCCTTTATTGTAAACTTCATGAGCTTTTCTACTTTCTATATAACTTGAAGGTTCTTCATATAAAAAAAAAATAGAGGGTGTTCCTTGAAACACTGAAAGATGTTCATCATCTGACTTGAGTTTTTGTTTGACATGTAGTGCTGTGTGCATCCACTTTGAGAAATGCTTAATATTTCTTCATCAGGAAATTAGGTATATGCTATATCTATTAATGCACTGACCTCAGGTGGAAAATAATTTTGGAAATAATATCTCAGCTTCTAGGTAGGTATCAGAGTTTATTGAAGGAAGTCAATTAAACCATGGTAACTTATTTGTCTGACATTAGAACTTTCCAGTTTAAAAGAATATTGAGTGAATTCTACCCAGAAAGCAGCTCTAACTTGCAATAGATGTTTGCCTCCTGAGATAAAGCCAAACGGTTTTCTTTTGTTTGCCCTTTTCCCTCAGGTGACATGACCCTCCTCAGCACTGCAGACTGGTTGCTCAGCCCTAGCACACAGAGCCCCACAGGTTTGGGTGCTGCAGTGGGCGCAGCAGGCGTGGGCACTCAGCATGCAATTTCGGATGTTGTTCCAAAAGTGTCCTGAGAGACAGCTTGTGCTTGGCGGTTCTGCTCTAAGCTCTCTAATTTGAAAAGTCCTGTCTCTGATTGCTCTTAAGTGACAAAGAAGGAAAAGTTTTTAAAAAAAACTAGCAGAATAATTTATTTCTGAATGAGATGTGTGCCAAGAGACAAAATTTACAAGTGAAGCAGATGCCTAAGATTCTGAAGGTGGAATTTCTACTGCTAATCTGTTTTCTCTTGAGAAAAGGTTTTGTTAGGATCCTTGAGCTGCTAAAGAGACTTAAGAAGGAGTGGAGTGAATGAAACAAAAGTTTCATTTTTTTTTTAATGAAGGATGAAGTAAAATTATTTTTTCTGGGATTCTTGAGGCAGAATCCTGCTGAGACATAAGTGGCTGATTGTAAGGATGTGGTTGTAAGGGCTTGCTGAACACCTCTTTCTAGATGCTGCAGTCTGGTTTGCTTGTTTGTTGCACATGGAGTGGGGATGTGGGTTGCTGAATCTTCACATGTCAAATGTAATATTTGAAACCAGCTTCTGGTCTACCATGGACACATTCTCACTAACATGAAATATCCCTCCTTCTCTATCATAAGAGGTCTTCATGTGGCCAAGAAGCTGGGCCTCTAGGTATTTGCATGTTATAAATATCTTGTAAAGATATGTTAAATTTGATTTGACTATGGGTGTGATTTTGACAGGTTTCCATACCCTGAAGCACAGGATATGTTCACTAAATGAGGGGAGGGGAAGAAGAAAGAAGAAAGAAAAAAAAAATACATGTCCCAAAGTGAAATGGCTGCATTTCAAACAAATGTTCATTAATTCCTCTAAGGCATATTTTCAGACTTGTCTTCTATTGATGTTTTTCTGCAAGAGGATGTGGTTGGAAGATAGCTCACTTTGTTAGCTAATATTTTTAGCTTCACACTTAGCTGAAAGTTTTCAAAGCACTGAATGGGGATTTAGTTGTACGATTGAGTCTGAATTTAATCTCTACATGCAGCTTATATATAATAACTCTTTGTGTGCTTAATCTCACCTTGAGAGAGTAAAATTCTTCTCTTGGCCAGGCAGCATGGTCTTCACTGATGAGGAAGTAACAAGGAAATTACAGACCTTGACCAGACAGAAATTTCCCAGGATCAAATGCAGAGGACTAAAATGTCTGGCTAAAGGCACCCAGAAAAATCAGGCCTAGTGTGCCAAGGTGATGCTGACTATATGAATACTACAGTATTTGAGGTTTTTGTGTTCTCTTTAAGTGTATTTATCGTAGCAGGCGCTGGACACTATAAAAATTATGGCCTTGTATAACTTGCCAAAGAAAACCTCTTAAAAAAATGATTGGAGCAGGGATCAAAATGTTCATAGTTTTGCCTTATCTCTAATCTTCCTTTGTCAGTGAATTGCCATGGTGGGTTGATACTGAAGGAGTTAAAGGAACAATAACAACAGAAGCTCATAAAATTGCCATTCATTAAGTTTTATCAGACAGCTGGTGGCTTTTCCAACACAGTGCCCACTTTGGTAGATACCCTTTAGAGGGGAAGGGCCGTGAGTAATCAGTAAACTTGAAAGGAGTAGGAAATCTGTTTTCCATGGCAGACAACTGCATCCAGTTTCTGCCTACGGTGATCTTTACTTTTATCTTAAGAATGTAAATCAAATCTGATGCATGGCATAGAGTGAGAAACAGAAGCCTGTGGCCCATCATGATGATGTTTTATGCAACTGGAATGGAAAAGAATAGATGAGGACTGGGAGAAGGAGCTCTTATTTTCTGAGCAACTACTCTTCATTCATTTAAGCAGTACAGACCTGCTACTGCCCTTTTATTTGAGTGTTTAAGGAGGAAGGAGGGAAGGCATTGTCATATCAAGTGGGAAGGGAAAATGGATAACAAATTGAAGATCAGATTTTCAAAGATACATAGGAAGGGAGGCTTCAAAGGGAGTTGGACATCAAAAATCCTTTGGAAAAAAATTATTCTCACTCTTTAAGTACCTGCTGCAACATGAGAATGAGATCTGACACAAAGGCAGTCAAAGCTCTCCACTACGAGACTATCTGATTTGTGGCCATTAAAAAGGTTGTTTTAAGTCTGGTGAACATAAATCCATCTTTGGGGGTTTCAAAAGGCAGCACTATGTGGTATGTTTGCTGTCAACTTGCAGTATTACAGAATGGAGAAAAAATGGTTCTCAGTATTTCCTAAAGTAATGGGGGAGTAAGATGTTAAAATCTATAGAGAGGGTAGATCTGGTTGTTGTTATGGCATGTGATGTAGATTTCTCAAAGTAAATTATATTTCTATAAATTATATTTCTTTAAATTCTAGCATGCTTTCTCACACTCCAAATAATCTTTCATTATTGCAATTAAGCAATTCACATTGGCAGTGAATGATTTTTAATTTATTCCTATTTTCTTTTAGATTTTTTGGTTTTTTGTGTGCTTTGGGATGCAAAATTGTGGTAGGTGATAATAATCAGACAAAAATATGCTTCTTCTGGTGATTCTAGTTGAATTCCAGTACCTTTTAATTACTCATTTCTGGAGTTCCTGCTAATTATGTATGCTGAAAGTTTTACACTTGTGTTTGCACTAAGGAGCTTGATGGTATGAAACTTGTAATTGATACCTCCATAATTAGACATCCTGAAATAATAGCATACTAAAGGTAGATGTAATATTTGCCTTCTAGTCAGGTACTAGCATCAAGAGCTGTGGATGCTGTTTCTCTACTTATCCCAGAAGAGTGCAAGAGAACCATTGTTTGGCCAGAGGCAAAACCTGCAGAGCTCCTGGGCTCCAAAAAGCAAGCTGGGGGTCTCTAGGGGCTAGTAAGAATCTCCCACCTGATGTCACTTCTGGAGGATAAAAATCAGGTGCAGCTTATTTATGTGAAGGCAAGGGGCTGACTTGGACTATCCTTTCTTTCCTCCTCTTCATCTTTTTTTTCCTTGCTGTGTTACACTGGCTTCCTTCCAGACTCTGTCTTACCTGTGCTTTTATTTTCCTGCTTCACCAAGAGTCTTTCTGTCCTGAGCACATGTAGCATAATGCTCCATTATTCCTCTTTCATAGGCACTTGGCCAGTGAAATTACTTGTCCACGTCTCTGCTGACTCAGTCGAGCAACTCCTGTTGCAAGGTCCTGGGGAGGAGACTGGCTAATAAATATTTATTTACTTACTGTCTTTTCTATATGTATGTGCATCCATTTTTGAAAGAGTCTCTATTTCAGTTTCCTTGGTGAGTCTTTCCTTTAAGAAAGGACCTCCTTAAATGAGAAGTTAATAGCAATACTGGTTCCCACGGGCATTTGGGGTAAACAAAATACTCCAAATGACAAATTACTTAAAAAAAAAAAAAAGGAAAATCTTAGAAACACCATTATTTTAATAACATTTATTTTGAAAGCTTCTCATATAGATGTTCACAACACATGCTGTTTCAGACAGTGGATGAAGCGTGGTAGTGTGAGAGCACCCTCTGAGTGTTTCCAAGGACCCCAGAACTCCACCTGCACAGTGATTGTGCACAGGCTGTGGGGTTTCAAGGGCCTGTGAGGATGTCCACTTCTTTTCTCAAAACTAGCCAACAACACATCATTCTAGGGGTGGTGTCTTTCCTGTGGGACCAGCCTGTTATGCACGTGTGTGTACAATTGTGTGATTCCATACAAAAATGTCATATGAAGTGTCGTATGGCCAGTAATACAGATGAGAAGGAAATCCAGGCCCAGCTGCCACTGTGCACCTGCAGAAGGTACAGAAGTAGAACATCTCAGTCAAAGATCACACCTTAATAGGGTAGTATTTGAAGAGCCTTAGCAACTTCAGACTTGTGGCTTGATGATTTAGCATTTGTACCTTACAATCTTCTGATGGATTTTGCCAGGTAGATAAAAAAGCATGGAACTTGGTTGCACTTTGGGGTTAGCTGAGTCCTTTGACCCCTGGTCAGTGAGTGAACCTGTGTCACCATGTTCGATGAAACATGGTGACAGGAGCTAGGGAATTTGCTGCTGCTGGTGCTAGCTGGAGGGGAACAGAAGCTACCACTTGTCTCTTTGTCCAGGTGAATTTGGCTTTAAGTCTGTCAGTCCTGGAGCTCAGACACTGGCCAAATGTAGAACATATGGGTTCCCATTTATGAAAAGTCCCACCTGCTTTGTCATTGTGCTTCTGTCTTCATGAGATAGTCTTGTGTATCTTGTACACCTAAGTGGCAGAGCAGGTTTGACTTCTCCATGCTGCTCTCTTGTTCACATGTAGACCTCCATATTCCCAGAAGGTAGTGAAGACAACCTTCTTTTCCTATAATGACTGGGCCTGTGATGACCTGTGGTCATTTTGTCTGGCTTTGGTTAAAGAATATGAATACTGTTTGGGAACACTGCAAGTTGTTAAACATGTGCATAGTCAGATTCCCAACTGAAAAGAGGAAAGTATAAAAGGAAATATGATAGTCCATGACACTTGTAAAAGGATTGGCTTGGGATACATGCTGCCTCCATTTGCAGGAGAGAGATACAAACATTTGGTATAATATGAGCGTTAAAGGATAAGAGCCTTAGTTTGACTCAAATGCTCTCATCTCCCAGTTGCAGTGAATTTTAACCCATAACTGTACTTGTCAGATAAATATCTAAGTTGAATCTTCCTTAGCAGCTACAAATACTTTCCACCTTTGTCTCTATCCATATGTTTTTGAATTTTCTTTCTGATTTTGCACTGTAGCAATGACACCATTTCTTTGTAAATTTAAGGTTTTTATTGCTAGATGAGGAGATACAAGGATGTTAAAGCTCTTTAAACTGAAATTCATAACATAAGAGGAAGATGAGGGTCTTGGGGGTGTATGTGGTAAAACCTAAGTGTTAACCACAGGCCAATTATTGGAGGAGTTTTGAAGCCTCTCACATCAGAGGAGGGGAAAGCAGGGAACAGTCTGGGCTTGAACTAGAATGTGCTGCTTTGTGCAGGGACTTTTTTTTGAAAACCATACAAAAATTTAGGCTGGAAATTACCTTCTGGTAGTTTCCAGACAATGAGATTCAGGGAGAGTTATCTTCTTTGAGGAGCACTAACAAATAAGTTTATCAGGCTTCATGGTCAGAAGCTGATGAATTGATAATCTGTTTTAGAAAGAGACAATAATATCTGGGATATGAATTAGTATAATTGAGTAGTAATCTGTGACCTTTCTATAATTGCAAGATTCTTCACTACAAACAAAGGGCTGTTTGAATAAAATAATCAAAAATATAATCAGTTTAAAGATTCAAGGTAGAATTTTTGTCTTGTTATTAGAAAAAATTATCTTTATGTTCTAGGTGAACTTTGGGCTTCTATAGTGAGTACAGAAACAGGACGATGTCAAGCAAAACAGTGTGTGAATAGCAACTGATTATACATAAAGTACTTTATCAAGATTTACATGGTGTTTAGTTACTACTATTATTTGAAGATGCCAGCCAAAACAGGGCAAGAGA